TATATACATATAATTTTACATTATAAATCAATGATTTAAAATTATATAAATTTACATACATGCATACACATATCTGTATTTCTGTGCTTCATGCTTAATTACTTCTCCTTATCAAATTCATGCGAGCAGGGACCTTTCCTCTCTATTCTCCAGTGTACTTGAAACATGCAGCATATCAGTGACTCGCATATGAGGTGAGAAGAAAATATTTGCCCCATATTATGAAGAGTAACACTTGTTCAGGGTTTCCATGTGGCACACACTGATTTAAGAGCCATGTGTAAATGGGCTCATGTGTAAATGACCTCTAAACAACTCTGCAAGAAAGTGCTTTTATTACTCGTTTTGCAAATAAAGAAATAGAGACAGAAATTGTTTTGGTAAAAGCACTGAGAGCACACAGCTAGAAAGGGGCAGAACTGGAATCTGAACCCAGACAGCCTGGATCAAAGTCTGCATTCTTAACCTTTATGCTTCCAGGCATGAAGAATGAGATGAGAGAGAGAGAGCAGGAAGAGTAAGAAATACATTTGCCCAAAAACGGAGGGCTGATAAAAGTCAGAGCCTGGATTCAAACCCAGGTTCTCCTCACTCCAAGCATATCACAATCTCCTGACCAGCACGCTCAGGACCCTCCCACAGGGAGACTTGAACCTCACAGGCAGTGAATAGACCCAGGGTCAGGGGATGACCACTTTAGACACGGAACACTGGGGGTGGGGAAGGCTCCATAGATAGGTCACAAACGGGTCTTCTCCTGGAAGGTCTCGGTCACAGGCCAGAGGAGGAGGTACAGCTGAACAACCTGAGACCCATGTCACAGGGGCAGCTTAACCCAGTCATATAGTCTGGGCAGAATCAGAAAGGCTATATGTGGACAGAGAGATAGGGTTTGCATGTAGCCCCAGGATTTTTCATCCTTTCACAGACACACCCCCTCGCAGAGGGTATCTTCCTCCTAGGGTGACCTTATGTTGATTATTTTTTTAAAAAGTTTCATTTACTGTCAAAGTTTCTGAGTTTGTAAGATGAGTTTTAAGTCACTGCATCAGTTGCAGAAGGAGCCCTGCTAGTGCAGTGGTTAAGGGCTTGTCTGCTAACTGAAAGGTCAGCCATTTGACAGATAGAGAGCCACAAGCCTGCCACTAACCTAGGTCCCCCCACCCCCACCCACTGGCTCCCACCACATCATTTTTTCCCCTTTCTTCCTTCCTTTCCCCCTCCCAACTAGCCCCATATGCCACTTCTACCCCTTCCTGCCCGGGCATGCCTCACTACCACAGGTAGAGCCACCAGCCTCCTGGCTCCCAATGCACTATTTTTCCCCTTTCTTTCTTTTTTTTCTCCTTCCCACATAGCCTCATGCACTACATCCTCCACTTCCTGTCAGTCCTCAGATCTGCCCCACCTTCACCTGCCAGCTACCTTTTTTTTTTCTTTTTTGCTCTTTTCTTTTCTTGGTTCCCCCCACCTAGCCCTGTACACCACCCTCCCTTCCTGCTGGCCCTTGCCATGCTATAGCAGCTACAGTGTCCTTGGCTCAGGCCTGCAGCTACGCTGGGTCTGCATTGTCCCTCCTCTCCCACCAACTTGGCTAGCTGCTGAATGGAGGGAATTGAGTCTTTACCACTCCCCCTCCAACACCCCTGCCTATCTGGCAAGGAGCTGTGAATGCTCTCACACTGCTGTACCAACCTCAGGAGGCAAACAGGGCCTACCCAGTCCAATCTCAGCCACCTTGCCAAACCAGTGTACAATGGAGCTCACTCTGCCTGCTACTGCTCTGCCTACGTAGACAAGGTGGTGAGAGCGATCGTGCCCACAGATGAACAAGCAGCAAAGCACACCTGGCCTGCTCACCCTGACATAGCAAAACAAAACAAAAAAGCAGCCCAAAACAAATGAACACACAATAAAAAAATACAGAGAACAATACCTTAATATCTCAGAGACAGCAGACAATATCAAAACTTTTAAAAAGCAGAACAAGATGGCTCCAGCAAGTGACCACAATAAAGAATCAGATAACCTTCTGATAGAAGAAAAGGCAGTGGAACCACCTGATATGAAATTCAAAAGACTAGTATTTAGGGCTCCAAGAGATTAGGAAAGATAGTAAGGAAAAAGCAGGCAAAACTAAGGAAAAAATAGATAAAATCATGGAAAACACAGACAAAACCAACAAAAATGGCCAAAATCAAGAAAAACACAGACAAAGTAATAAAAGAATTTAGGAAAATAATACAAGAACAAAATGTCAAAATAAGTAAACAATTAGAAATCATACAAAAAAATAGCAACTGGAAATCCAAAAGATAAACAACAGAATTTCAGAAATGGACAACTCACTAGAAGGTTTTAGGAGCAAATTTGACACAATTGAAGACAGAATCAATGAGATTGAAGACAAATCCATGGATGCTACTTTGTTTGAGGAAAAATCAGAGAAAAGAATGAAGAAAACTGAAGAATTATGTGGGACACAATCAAGGGCAAAAATTTGCATGTGATCAGAGTTCCAGAACAGGGAGAGAAAGTGGAAAACACAGAGAAGATTGTTGAAGATTTGTTGGCAGAAAACTTCCCAAATATCATGAAAGATGAAAAGCTGACCATCCAAGAAGCTCAACAAACCCCATATAGGATAGACCACAAAAGAGAGTCACCAAGACATATTATAATCACACTTGCCAAAATCAAAGACAAAGATAGAATTCTGAGAGAGAGCAGCTGTGAAAAATGAAGTCACTTACAAAGGGGAAACAATAAGACTAAGTTCTGATTACTTGGCAGAAACTATACAAGCAAGATGACAATAGGATGACCCATATAAAACCTTGAAAGAAAAAAAACCTACCAACCAAGAATAATACATCCTGTAAAACTCTTTCTCAAATACGATGGTGAAATTAGGACCCTTCCAGATAAACAGAAATTAAGGGAATTTGTAAAAACCAAACCAAACTTATAAGAAATATTAAAAGGAGTCCTTCGGTTAGAGAAACAACAAACATCAGACAACAACTGGAGTCTAGCACACAGGACAGCATCAGCCAGATACCAACCTAAGTAAAGAACTCTCAAAAATAAAAAAGTTAAAAGACTTAAAACAGGGAAACAGAGACATCAATCTGTAAATGATGACAATGTCAAAACAATGAAAGGGGGAATAAATGGTGCAGGTATAGAACTTTCAAATGGAGACAAAGTAAAGGCAACATCAAGTAATAAAAGACTGGTTTAAACTTAGGAAGTTAAGGGTAAATTTCAAGGTAACCACAAAGAAAGCTCACAAACCTACTCATCAGAATAAAAAGGAAGAAAATCATAAAATCTCAGTAAACACAAAATCTATAATAATGAAAGAAAAGAAAAGAAAATTCACAAACAAAAGGAACCGAGCACAGGAAAGTAAGAGGAGCAAAGAAAGCGTCAGCAACACACAAAAAAAGCAGAACAATATGACAGCAATAAACTCATACCTATCAATAATTGCACTGAATGTAAAAGGCTTAAATGCACCTATACAGAGACAGAGAGTGGCTGAATAGATTAAAAAAAAACACAACCAATTAATATGAATATGCTGTCTACAAAAGAAACACCTTAGACAGAAAGACATAAATATATTAAAAATAAAAGGATGGAAAAAATATATCAAGCAAACAGTAATCAAAAAAGTCAGGAGTGGCAATACTAATCTCAGATAAAACAGACTTTAAGGTAAAATCAACCATAAAAGACAAAGAAGAACATTACATAATGATTATATGGACAATCCACCAAGAAGACATAACCTTAATAAATATCTACACACCAACTATAGGGCTCCAAAACACATAAAACCAACTCTGACAGCACTGAAAAGAGAAATAGACAGTTCCACAATAATAGTAGGAAACTTCAACACACCACTATCTGTAGTGGACAGAACATCTAGAAAGAAACTCAACAAAGATACAGATCTAAAGGCTAAAATCAACAACTTGACCTCACAGACGTATATATAGAACACTCCACCCTAATGGCAGCAAAGTATACATTCTTCTCCAACACACATAGAACATTCTCCAAAATAGTCCATGATTTTAGACCACAAAGCAACCTCAATAAAATCCAAAACATCAAAATAATGCAACGCATTCTCTCTGATCAAACCGTAGAAGTAGAAATTAATAAAAGGAAGAGCAAGGGGGAAGAAATTAAATACATGGAACTGAATAACACCTTACTTAAAAACAACTGGGTAATAGAAGAAATTAAAGAGGAAACAAATTCCTAAAGTCAAATAAGAATGAAAACACATCTTACTTACCAAAACCTTTGGGACATAGCAAAGGTAGTGCTCAGAGGTCAATTTATAGCAATAAAGGCACACATTAAAAAAAGAAGAATAGGCCAAAATCAAAATGTTAGCCTTACAACCAGAACAAATAGAAAGCGAACAGCAAAAGAAGCCCACAACGACTGAAAGAAAGGAAATAATAAAGATTAGAGCAGAAATAAATGAAATAGAGAACAGAAAAACGATAGAAAAAATCAACAGTTTCAAAAGTTAGTTCTTCAAAAAGATGGACTAAATTGACAAAACATTGGCAAAACTGACAAAAGAAAAACAGGAGAGGAAGCAAATAACCCAAATAAGAAATGAGACTCACTGAAACAGACCCAACTGAAATAAAAAGATCATAACAGAATACTATGAAAAATTGTACTCTGACAAATTTGAGAACCTAGAGGAAATGGACAAATTTCTAGAAACACACTACCTACCTAAACAAACACAAACTGAGATAGAAAAATCTGGTCAGACCCATAACAAGAGAAGAGACTGAAGAAGTAATAAAAACAAACTCCTACAACAACAAAAAAAGCTCTTACCCAGATGGCTCCACTGGAGAATTCTACCAAACATTCAGAGAAGAGCTTGCACAGTACTATGCAAACTATTCAGAGCATAAGAAAGGAAAGAATAGTCCTGAATTCATTCTATGAAGCCAGCATAACCCTGATACCAAAGATAGGCAAACATACCACAAAAAAAAAAGAAAGAAAATTACAGACCAGTATCTCTCATGAATATAGATGCAAAAATTCTCAACAAAATTCTAGCCAATAGAATTCAGCATGTCAAAAAAATAATACACCATGGCCACGTGGGATTCATGATATGTATGCAAGGATGGTTCAACATTAGAAAATCAATCAACATAATCCATCACATAAATAGAACGAAAGAAAAGAGTCACATGATCATCTCAATTGATGTAGAAAAGGCATCTGATAAAGTCCAACAGTAATTCCTGATTTAAAAAAAAACTCTCAAAATAGGAATAAAAGGGAAATTCCTAACATAATAAAGGGCATCTATATAAAACCAACAACCAACATCATTCTCAATGGAGAGAGACTGAAAACATTCCCCCTGAGAACGGGAACAAGACAAGGATGCCTTTTATCAGCACTCCTATTTAACATTGTGCTGGAAGTCCTAGGTAGAGCAATAAGGCAAGAAAAAGAAATAAAGGGCATTCAGATTGGAAAGGAAGAAGTAAAACTATCCCTATTTGCAGATGATATGATCCTATACATACAGAACCCCAAAGATTCCACAAGAAAACTACTGGAACTAATAGAAAGATGCAGCAGAGTAACAGGATATAAGATCAACATACAAAAATCAGTTGGATTCCTATACAACAACAAAGAGAACTTCAAACAGGAAATCAGGAAAACAATCCCATCTATAATAGCCCCTAAAAAGATAAAATACTTAGCAAAGGACAGTGGTTCAAATTCACCAGCCGCTCCACAGGAGAAAGATGTGGCAGTCAACTTCCGTAAAGATTACAGCCTTGGAAACACTATGAGGCAATTCTACTCTGTCCTATAGGGTAGCTATGAGTCAGAATCCACTAGATGGCAATGGTTATCAGTTGCAGAGTAGGGTAAATAAGAGACCTTACCCACTAGGGGGTAGAGTAGAGAGGCATTAAATTCTGACATCTGGGATCTGGCTGCCAGGGCTGTGTTCAGACTCTTCCCCTTAATTTCCCTGTGACTCAGTGCAAGAACTTTTAGCATAGTTTCTGCATATTAAAATTTAAAAATAGGTGATGGATAGAAGCAGAGTAATGTTTTTAGCTGCCATCGAGTCAGTTCCGATCCATAGCTACCCTATGAACAACAGAACGAAACACTGCCCAGTCCTGCCCCATCCTCACAATCGTTGGCTGTGCTTGATCCTATTGTTGCAGCCACTGTGTCAATCCATCTCATTGAGGGTCTTCCTCTTTTTCGCTGACCCTCTACTTTACCAAGCATGATGTCCTTCTCCAGGGACTGATCCCTCCTGATAATATACCTTCCTCATAATGTTGCTGTGAGAATTATGTATTTTCAATAGTGTCTGGCATAGAGTTAGTTTTCAATCAATGTTAGTGTTGTTTTCATGGTCTCTGTGATATTCAGGGACATCCCTTACCCAGTAGATGTCAGTTCTTATTGTGGTTTTACTGATCCCTGGTTCTATGCCCAGAGTAGAGGGTGGAGCCTCAGAGCCCAATTCCTAACACAGAGAACCCTAATAACCCACCTCCAGGTTGAGGCCTCTGGTACTCGACAAGTGAGGAGTGGGGTGTGGTGGGTGAGGAGCTGAAAGATCCAGGGAATCCTATGAACAGGGACAGGAGAAGGGTTGAGAGATTATGTGGGGGCTACTAATGGTCGGTCCCACTCAGCCTGGCCTTTACCTTCACCTGAATATTCATTCTGAGACCACATCGGTCAATCACAGACAACAGCCTGAGATTCCTGAGAATATGGGTTCAGGAGAAGAGACCTGAGAGAGACATCCCCCTGCGTCACTCTGCAGAGGGCTGGTCACCCCCTTCACACCTCCATCATGAGCTGTCTGGTCCTTTCCCCACCCCTAGTCCCATGTTCAGGGTGGTGGTACTCTGACCCTGGTTCTCTCACTACCTGTGAGACTTGAAGTTCTGAGCCCAGGCACGTGGAACCAGGGGCAAAAGATACAGATAGGAAAGGTGGGAGAAGGGCAGTCACTTTACTACAACATTCCTGACCTCACAATCAGCGTAGAGCACCTACTGGAGGTCCTGGGACCACAAGCACTGGGTTTGAGCCTCCTCACTGGACCTTGACTCCAAGACCTCACCGGGGTCTGAGCACACACAAGGCAGTGCCTGTCTCACCCCATTTGTTCCCCCAAAGAACTGTCCACCCCTAGTCTACAGGCCATCCCTGGACAATGTGGATCTGTCCAATGAGGAAGATGGACCACACCACAGGGCAACATATTGCCTGGGGTCACAGTGATTCTGGTTCAGTTTAAGGGAGCATTTAACATGCCATCCTGAGCAAAATGGTGTACATTCCTTTGAAGGGAGTCTGTCCTGCAACAATTCTCTGGACAGAAGAACCAGAGGGAGCTGGGAATCCACTCCCCCACCCACCCAGCAGTGCCCATCACTGTCCACCTCCCGACACTGGAGCAGAATGTCCAGGTTTTCCTTTGTGTCCACACGAGACCCAGGTCTTTATGAACCTCAGTGGTGTCTGAAGTCAGAAGGGACAGGTGTGCTGAGGGAGCCAGACAGGTGTGGGAGGAGAAGCCAGAGGAGGGCAGGGGGTCTGTGGAGAGATGCTGGAGCTGGGGACAGGACCCAGGACCTGGGGACAAACATGAGAGAATCTGAGAGGGATGGGTGTTCTGGGTGGCTCCTCACCTGTCACCACCAGCTCCAGGATCTCACTGCGCTCAGAAAAGTGATTCCCTGTAGAATACAGGCAGCTATAATGCCCTGCAGTGTCTATCTTCACTGAGTCAATGGGGAATCTGGCCTCTGTCTCAGTCCCAGGAGAGCTCTTCACATCCAGGTATTGGTTCGTTCCAACATTCTCCAGTCGGAATGACTCAGCCTTACGAGGGCTCTGGCACACGAAGGTCACAGATGTCCCCCAGGGGATCACACAGCCTGGCTTGACTGAGATGGAGGGTTTGGGCAGGTGCCCTAGGAAGGAATCAGTGCAAACACCTCAGAGTCCACTCGTGAGGGAATCACCATTCCACAAAAGTCCCCCATTTTTTAGTGTACAATGCAATTACTTTAGTAAATTTACAGAGTTGTGCAACCATCACTACAATCCAAGCTTAGAACATTTCCATCATCCCCTAAAAACCCCTCATAACCGTTCCACATCCATTTTAATTCTCATCACTGCAGAACTATTTTCTCCACTCGACAATAAGGAGACTGAGACTTGGTTACACCTTGGGCCTTGCTCAGTGCCACACTGGAAGTATGTGTATCACTAAACCACACCCGATCCCATGCATGTCTCTGCAGAGCCCAGCTCTGTCCCTGTCCATGACCACTTTCCAGGGACCGGAGAGGGGAAAGGGGGAGGCAAAGGATGAAGATGGCTAGGATGTTCATGGAGACTTCTAGTAAGGGAAGGAGGAGTCTGGGATTGGCAGGAATGAGTCTGGGGCTGGGACCAGTCCTCGCTGGGATTGTGTGAGGTGCAGGGTCAGGGGTCTGCAAAGCTCTTGTAGAAACACAAGGAGAGGTGTAGCTAAGCACAAGTGTGGTTCCCAGTGGACGTTAAGAAAAAGAGAGCTCCCTGTCTCTAAAGCAAGCCTCTGTTGAGCAATCACATCTGGGTTTTCCTGTGTATTTTTTACATCCATCTGAGCCTTATTTCCGTTTTGTCATTGTTAAGCCTCTTAAGAAACCTCGGCCTGTCTCAACTTGGTTAAGCAGGGTAGGGGAGGGAGGGATTTGAAGCCCTGGAACAAGAAGGTTGTATCAAAGTCAGCAAAATCAGATGAGGAGGAGTCAGGACGGGCCCTGGCCCCACAACTGGTGCTGGTGGAATTTCCATTCACGTATTCATTCACGCACTCATTCATTCACTCACTTATTCATTTATTCACTCACTGGCTCGTTCATCCATTCATTCACTCACCCACTCATTCACTTATCCACTCATTCATTCCTTCAACAACATACTAGTTCATTCCCTCTCCATCTATGTATGGGTTTATATATTCTTTGCATGCAACACTAATTCCACAATTATGAGAAGGTCAGACATGATCCCAGCCCTCTTGGAGCTGAAAGCCTAGGAGACTGGACAGACACTGATCAATAATTGTCCAAATTTACACAACAAACTGTGACAAATATCCTCAGGGGTGAGTTCAGGAATTGAGCGGACCAGATGAAGGGAGGACAGACTCCTCTCTGAAGGTCTCTGAGCTGAGACCTGAGGGCCGAGTTACTTCAGCTGAACAGATAGGAGGTGTAACCAAGTCTCATCGTGTGAGAAAGTCCTGCATGTAGTGGAAACATGGTGTGTTTGAAAAACTGAAAGAAAGCCAAGACATCTGGAGATAAGTGAGCCAGCGGCATGGGGACCAGAAGTGCCTGAGAAAATAGAGGTCAGATAAAAGGGAGTCTGATTCTATCCGAAGATAAACCATGGGAGGGCTTCATGGAAAAATAAAATTTTGCCTTAAAATTAAAAAAGATTCTAACTGGAAAAAAAAAAAAAAGAAATAAAAATAAATATTAAATAAGTGAAAAATAAAAAGAAATTTAAAATGAATAATGAAAAATATAAGTGAAAAATTTTTAAATAAAATAATTTGATGTAAATTTAAATGATTATAATTGTGCTTTTAAAATGCAAATAGCCATCGCCTTGGTGTGGAGAAGGGAGAGGTGGAGAAGCAACCATGGGTAGATAGTAGAGGCTGACCCACGGAGAGGGGAGGGAGGAGGGGGGATAGCAGCAGTGTGGCTGACAGACAGAGGTGGCTTGGATGCAGTTGGAGGTAGGGTGTGTAAAGAAAACTTGAGAAAAATGGAGGAGGTAAAATCAACATGTTTTGATGATATGTAACACGTAGGAGGAGGGTGAAGATGAGATCTAGGATGAATTCTCAGATTCTGCCCTTTGGACTGTAATATTTCCTGTTAAGGGGATATGGAGGGAGGTCTTGGCTTGTATGGAGAGAGTTCATGGCTAGCTTTGGGCATGTTGAATCTGAGCTGGTTTTGGTGCATTAAATGGAGCTACTAAGAAGACAGAGTCTCTGGTTGGTGCAAATTGTTAAGCACTTGGCCACTAACTGAAAAGTTAGTGGGTCGAGTCCACCCAGAGGCACCTCAGAAGAAAGGACTGGTCATCTACTTTCAAAAAATCAGCCATTGGAAACCTATGGAGCACAGTTCTACTCTGACACACATCAAGTCACCATCACGAGTTGGTGTTGACTAGATAGCAAGTGTTTTTATTTGTTTGTTTTGTTTTCTTACTAAGAAGACAGGTGGAGAACAATAAAGAGAACTAGGCTAGGGTTCTAGGTGTGGGGTCATTTGCTATTTAGGGTATATATAAGGGTTTCCCCCCAGTCCCTCCCAGCGTCAGCATCACTCTCACCCAACAGTTGGCCTTGGAGTGGAGAGGGAGCTGGGTAGTTTAAAGACATGACTCACCATTTTGTGCTTGGATTGCTGGTCCCAGGCAGAGCACTGTAAGAGAAACCCCAGTGAGAAAAAGGCCAACGGCCCTCTATCCTAACCGGGCTGCTACCAAGGAATGGCTTTGATGGGGGAAGAGGAGATTTGTGTAGTCATTGTTGTTAGTTCCTGTCCATTTCATTCAGACTCATGGTGACCCCATGTGTGCAGAGTAGAACTGCTCCACAGGGGTTTCAAGGCTTTGACCTTTCTGAAGCACATCAACAGACTTGTCTTCCAAGGTGCTTCTGGGTGGTTTCGAACCACCAACCTTTCAGCTAGTAGTGGAGTACAAACTGTTTGCACCACCCAGGGACCTAAGAGGGAATTTAGCCTCCTATAATTTCCAAACCATCCCTTTTCAACATTATTGTTGTTGTTAGGTGCCGTCGGGTTGTTTCTGACTCATAGCAACCCTATAGGACAGAGTGGCACCTGGTGGATTTGAACTGCTAACCTCTTGGTTAGAGCCAAGCTCTTAACCACTACGCCACTAGGGTTCCTTTTTCAACATTAATTTGACTATATAATCCTTCTTACTCTGAAATAGTTTCAAGACAAATCTCCAAGCCCCCTATTCCAAATACATTAGTCCAGCCCTCTTGAATCTGAACTCCTCCCCACCGTCTGTAACCGGTTCTGAGACCAAGACTTCTGTGGTCAGATTTACACCCGAGTGAGAATTGGAGGGGACGGCTTTCCTCCCCCACATCCCAGAATCTCCAGGGAGGAGTCAGGACTGAGCAGAGAACTGGACTCCCGACCCAAACTGTCACCTCCCTGTCTTCTAATCCTTCCACGTCATTCCCGGACTCACCGAGGCCCAAGAGGGCGGTGGGGGTAGGAGACATTCCACAACCACCAAAGCCTGTCCTGTCCTGGAGCCGACGGAGGATAGACAGCCCTGCAGCAGACAGAGGGAAGAGCATGTACTGGCTGGGCCCTGTTTCAAGATTTCTACAGCAATGGACTCCCACAAAGGGGAAGAGGTTTTTACCCTCAGTACTTTCCACTCTACTCCCACTTCCGCCCGCCGAAATGACAGGGTCAGGGGCTGTGGAGCAACTTGGCTACTGAAAAATATTTCATATCCAAATGCTTGAATGAGGGTGAACTTATCTCTAGATCAAACCCCTCACACATTAAACTCACTCTAAAACTATGGGACCAGGCTGAACACAGGCTCTTAAATAAACTGACTTGAACATCAGTCCCAACCCCACAAACTAATGACCTTCTGTTCTTGGGCAAGACATTATGCTACTTTAATTCTCTATTTCCTCATATTAGAAATGGAAACCATAAAATCCTCCTCCAAATATTTAATAATATTGTTGTTAGCTGCAGTCAAGTCAATTCCAACTCATGGTGACCTATTTGTGCAAAGTAGAACTGTTCTTCATGAGGTTGTCAAGGCTGTGACCTTTCAGCAGCAGATTGCCAGACCTTTCTTACGAGATGCCTCTCTGGCCTGGACTTGAACCTCCAGCCTTTCAGTTGGTAGACAAGATCTTAACCAGTTGCGCCAACCAGGGACTCCTTAGCACGAAACAGTAGTTAAAAAATTTCTTCCTGAAAATAAATGACTAATACTGGTCTTCTTCTGTATTTCTGTCTGTCTGGTCTTTTTCATTGTATATGTCCTTCTGTGGGTTTCTCTTTCTCTCTCTTTCTCTCATCCTCTCTCTACTTTTGGGTATCTCTTCCTCCCCTTTCTCTGCTTTTCCATCTCTAGTGGCTCTGTGTCCTCATTCCTCACAAAGCTAGTCCTTGGTCTGTTTATGGTTAGATCCATCCCTCAAGCTGCGTCTAATGTCAAGGAAGTGACGATGACGCCACCTTTCTCAAGCTCTCTTGTAAACTGACAGAGTGGGGGAAAGAGTGGAGTCAGGTTATTTCCCAACATTCTAACACACTCAAGAGCTAGACAACTGTTTCTGCCTCATGGCTCTAGTTCTGTCAGACATGGTTCAGGATTTTATAGGGTGACCTCTAGCACTGGGCTCAAGTAGCATTGCCTGCTCCCCATGGACCTCCACCTGCCCACACTTGCTAATCTCGATGTTGCATCCCTGTCCCCTGTTCTGCTTCTCGGCTCTTCTTTCACGTGCTGCAGTGACATGGCTCACTTTTGTGTGGCCTTTATAGCCATGTCTTTTAACTCTCACTCAAGTGATTGGGCAGGACTATGTGACAGGATAATTGTAGCCCACCAAAGAGATCGGTCGGTTTTGCCAACTTGCTGGGCTTGAAATGAGCCATCCTAGAGGTGAGAGAGAGAGGATCCTACCATACCAAGGAGGAACCACCAGGAGCCAGCATGTCCTTTGGACCCTGAATCGCTGTGCTGAGAAGTTCCTGGAATCAGGAGACACAGAGAGAGATGTAACACTGAAGGTAGTGAGACTTGGTGACAGACACCTGGTGGCAGAGACCCAGCAGCAGGAGACAGCGTAGTGGGCTTCCCGGCCCACAGAGAGAGAAAGCTGAGTGCCTTTGGGCAGCGGCAGAGGGCCAGGGAGAGGTGTGCCTGTGAGCACGGCTGGGAAGAGGCTATCCTGATAGAAGAAGTGTATTCTGAGTGTTCCTGAGCCTGAATTGTAAATGTTACTTCCCTAATAAACCCCAGAATTGTCAGTATTGTCTGTGAATACTATATGGCCATTGCAATGAATTATTGAACCAAGCAGAGAAGTAGCGTGCCATGGTAGGGATGGTTAGTTTCAGAATTGGTAAAGATTGTGGAGGGAAGCATGTCTGACCTCTGTCTCATAGGAATCAGCCTTGGGCTACTGATCTTGATTCTCCTTCCCCCTTGTGAAGTTAGAAGAGGTCAGGCTCTGCCCCCATGCCATTTTTACCCTTGGACAATGGCTTCTGTGCCATAAATTATCCTCATCTCTTTATTGAAGATCTTCATGAGTACATATTTTTAATGGGATAATATATTTGGTCATTTCAACAATCATCACATGTATAGTTCAGTGACGTTATGTTCATCGTGTTGTTCATCCATTACCCTTATTCATTCCCAGATTTTACCATCATCCTTAATAGAAGCTCAGTGTCTGCCAAGCATTGTGTTTTCCTCCCCTCCCTTCTGGGCATTAGTAAATTTTAATCAGCTTTATTGAAGAAAAATTTACAACATACAACTGCATCCATTTAAAGTGTACAATTCAATGATTTTTGACAGTTGTCTAAAACCACCATCAAATTCAAGATTTCTATCACTACCAAAAGATTCATTATGCTTCTTTGCCTTCTGACAACTACTGATTTTTATTTTCTTTTTGTAAAATTCTTATTTGTTTGCTAAGCTAGTTTTTTAAATAAACTTCTGTCTTAGTCATCTAGTGCTGCCATAACACAAATACCACAAGTGGTTGGTTTTAATGAAGAGAAATTTATTTCCTCACAGTCAAAGTAGGCTAGAAGTCCAAATTCAGGGTGTCAGCTCCAGGGGAAGGCTTTCTCTCTCTCGGCCTTCTTATCAGTGTTCCCCGGGGACAAGGAGCGTCTCTGCGCAGGGACCCTGGTCCAAAGGACGCGCTCTGCTCCTGGCACTACTTTCTTGATGGTATGAGATCCCCCAAAAATGTGTGTATCAGTTTGGCTGGGCTATGATTCCTGGTACTGCGTTGTGAATCCTCCCTCTATGATGTTAATGAGGGAGGATGGGTGGCAGTTGTGTTAGTAAGGCAGGACCGGATCTACAAGACTGGATTGTGTCCTGAGGCAATCTCTTGAGATATAAAAGACAGAAGTGAGCAGTGAGACAAGGGGACCTCATACCATCAAGAAAGCAGTGCTGGGAGCAGGGCGCATACTTTGGATCGGAGTCCCTGCGCCGAGAAGCTCCTAGTCTGGGGGAACACTGATGAGAAGGCCGAGAGAGAGAAAGCCTTCCCCTGGAGCTGACACCCTGAATTTGGACTTTTAGCCTACTTTGACTGTGAGGAAATAAATTTCTCTTCTTTAAAACCACAAAAAAAGTTGAAAGACAGAGCACTTTATGGGAATTAACAGAACAAGTTCCTATTGTGACTCTGTCTCCTACAGCCCTGGTGACCTTGGACAGGTCACTTCCCTGCGAACTTTCACAAATGGGAATTCGTAAATTTTCTCTCTTCGGAAACCAATCCACAAATGTTTATCAGTTGCCACCATGGAAGAAAGACCTAGTGATCTGCTTCCATAAATATTATAGCCAAGAAAACCCTATGGAGCTCAGTGCTACTCTGGAACATATTGGGTAATCATGAGTCAGAATACTTGATGGCAACAGGCTTGGGTTTTGTTTTTTAATGTGCTTGGTGTTTGGGATAAAAGAGTGAGCAAAACAGATACAGTCCCTGTCCTCAACAGAGCTCCCAGTCCAATGAGGGGGACAGAATCAAGTAGCTAATCATAGATTATTTAATTATTGTTGTGAGGTAAGAGTTAGGGTAACACTGACCACTGAAACAAGTAAATCCTATAATAGCAGTGGTTTAACACAATGAGAGTTAGCTTGTCACTCATGTAAATGACCAATGTGGGGTTTTCTGGGCAGAGTTTAGATTTCTTCTCTAGGATGATTCAGGAACCCTAGCTTCTTCCATCCGGTGGCTCTCTACTCTGTTGAGCAATGAAGTCTTCTTGCAATCAACAGAAAGAGAAAGAGAGAGTAGAGAAAATATATTCACTTATAAAAGTCACTGGTCTGGAAGTGACACATATCACATCTGCTCAAATGTCTTGACTACATCATGATCACATGTGGATGTAAGAGAGGTTAGAAAATAAAGTCCTTGTTTGGGCAGCCACCTCCCAGAGATAATACTGCACTGTGAAAGAAGAAACGTTTTCCTGATGAGCAACCAGACCTTGTTGCCTCATGTAGAAAGTAATCTAAAGAAGATATGTACATGAGTATGTATAGCAAAAAGAAAAAAAAGTTTCCATCGAGTCTATTCCGATTTATGACAACACCATGTGACAGAGTAGAATTGCTCCATAGGGTTTTCCTGTCTGTAATCTTTACAGAAGCAGATCACCAGGCCTTTCTTCTGTGGTGCCACTAGGTAGGTTCAAACCACCAACCTTTCTGTTAGTAGTCAAGCACAAACCTTTTGTGCCTCCCAGGGACCATGTATAGCAAAGGAGCTTGTTATTATAACCGCACCCCAAACTTATGTAAAATCTGGGGTGATTGAGTCACCTGCCATTAGAAGAAACCTGCCAAATTGGAGTTCTAAATAAGGATCTTTGGTGGCTCAATGGTTAAGTGTGCGGCTGCTAACTGAAGAAAGGTCAGTGGTTCGAACACACCAGCCGTGGGAAAAAAGACCTGCAATCTGCTCTCATTAAGATTACAGCCTAGGAAACTCTATGGGGCCGTTCTACTCTGTCCCATAGGGTCAGAATTAATTTAACAACAGACAACAACAAATAACATCAAAGGGACAGATTCCCATATTCCCTTTGGAAACCAACACAAGACTCAGCTAACTTGAAGATAGTTGTCACAAACGACTAGAAAAAAAGAGGTAGCTGTGTGAAAGGGTGGCTTCACCCTCCTCACCTCATATCCTTGGTACTGGACTTTGAGGAAGGAAGGACTCCCAACTGGTCCATTCATTTTCCCCTTCCTCTGAACATGAGGGGCAGAACTGAGGCTGGGTATGCTTCCATACCTCTGTGTATGTTTCCCTTCCAAAATTGCCAGCACAAGATTTTGTGATTTTGACTGCCATAGTGACAATGACAAAGACCTGTATTGTCTGCTGTCATAGATATGATAGATAACTTAGACATCTTCCTGGACTTTGATGAGAATTTTCTATTCCAGAGTTCAGGGTTTCCTTCTCTATCCAGACAGTACTCATCAGATCCAAAAGGTCCCCAGACCCAGGTGATCATAATTCTCTTCTGGCAGAACACTTAGTCTAGAATGGATAGGATGATAGCTTTGTGGATGTTCTATAGAAAAGAA